ATTTATTGCACCGCGTTAGACTCACCGTCGCCGCCGCCTATCGGTTTAACGATAGAAAGACGAGGAAGGAGAAAATCCGACCTCTATTTAAGCTGGCACTCCTAACACAAAAAATCGAAATGGGAACTATATCAGAATTAAGCGTTAATTAGGTGGTAATTTAATGCTACATCCACGATTTTAACACTCGGGCAGTTCCGCTGGAATTTGCGTTTCAAAATCAGAGTGACTTAACATATATTATATTTCTTTACTCATTATATCATATTATGTTATATTATGTATACTATATCATATTATTGTATTATACTACATTATGTTGTATCTTATATTATATTAAAATATAACTAATAAGAAATAATAAGATATTATATTAAAAAGTAACTAATAAGAAAGATTAGATTATATTAAAAGATAACTAATAAGAAAAATGGGCTTCGCCCTGCCTCTCTCTTTCAAATCTCAGATAAATTTCTTTTGTGCCACACATTTCCTTACTCTTTGATTTTTCTAATACTTAAACAATCAGAAGTCGAAAAATTTCGCGTGTTTTCGTCGGAAATTTGAGTTATTTTTTGGCTCGAACATTACAATGAGGGATGCTGCATTAAATTCGCACCTGATTAGTACTTAATCCTGACATAGTGTTCGAGTTCTCTTTAACTTTATTATGTTTTTAGTAGTACAGGAATAAACTATCGTCTTGCTGAAGAACATTTCGTTGGGAACATAGCAAATTTTTTAAACATTTCAGTCCCCAAAATATAAATAACACATAAATATGAAATAAATGGGCAATACTGCAGAATGCCGATCTATTTTCCGGTGACAAAATTCTATAGTGATCTTTACTGTAAAATTCTTTCCACACATGCGAAAGTGTTCGCTGGTCAACCTCGTGCGCGATATTTTGACAATTTAACTCTTTCACGCTACTAACGAATCTTCCCTATCATTAATAACTTTATTCAACGGAATAAGCAGTTCTTTCGTATTTAAAGAAAACATCAGTTATCACTTTACTTATTATTGTTGGGGCAAATATACTCTCCCAAAAACTTCAGTGGGACATTAGTGTGTCCCGGCTCTATTCCTTTGGTGCTAAACATAAAACTTCCAATTTCTTTGCTAAACTACACTATACAAATGTGTTTAATGAAGTGAAAGTAAAACAAATTGTACCTATAAAAAACATATTTGGTAGCGAAAGGTTTAAGTTACGAATGACTCTTTAGTTTTGCAAATACTGTCCTGCGTGAAAATGTCTCACATAATTCGTGTGTGATATCGACGTTTCGTGAGATATTTCTTTCTCATTACCCCGGTTTCAAGATGTTGAGCAATGTTGCCACAGATAATGCGATAGGAGGGATACTGAGATCTTTTTGTTCTGAGTTATACTAGGCTTAAACGACGAAGCAATTTCACTTTATTTTGTCATGGCATTTTGTAATTAGTTCCGCAAATTTCCCTATAATAAAGATTAATTTTTGTAAGAAATCATCTTTTTCTTGAATTTTTGTCACCTCAGAAATATATTTCAATCATCTTTATTTTCAATTATCCAAATAATTATATTTTTTTATATCAGTATATAGAACTTTTTTTTTTAAGAAAATAGTTTCATCTAAAAAAACCTGAAAATATTTTTGTTAATCTCAGTTGGAACCAGAAAGGAAGCATGTGTTTTCTCTTGACGTCGGATGCTGTCAAATCGATTTTTTTTCGAATTTTCGGAGAACGAATGATCCTATGAGTCTCATACTCTAGAACTATAATTCTTAAGCCTAGAACAACTCAGAACAAAAAGATCTCGGTTGGAACAAGAAAAATAGTATAAGTTTACTCTTGGTCCGATGGACTGTTTGTCAAAAAACTTTTTTTTAATTTTTCGGGCTTATAATTAAACTTATTGATTTGTGCTTTTGGAACAATGTTTGGAACAACTAGAACAATCTATTGCGTTATCGGAATGCTTTATTTTCAAAAAATGGGGTGCCAGGTCAAAAACATTTTTTTCATTTTTTGGACTTATAATTCAACTTACGGATTTGTCCTTTTGGAACAATGTTTGGAACAACTAGAACAATCTATTGCGGTATCAGAATGTTCGATTTTCGAAAAGTGGGGTGCCAGTTCAAAAAATCATTTTTTTTGTTTTATTCGAAAACCGTTTCGAATGAAGCAATATCACTTTGGAACAATGTGGTACAAAATCAGGACAATCTGGAACAACTTTCAAAATTATAAATTTCAAAAAGTGGGGTGCCAACTTCATACACTCGAGGACAAACCCATACTGGAGAGAACCCGAGCGCGCGCGCGCGCGCTTCCATCATTCCTCATTGAGTACAAAACCGAATTCTCGGTTGTACCTTGACGTGCCCGTATTTTTGGCACGTTGGATTTACGATCGCATCGAGCATAGTTTATTCGTAAAGTCTCCGTGACCGACGCGACTAGAAAGGAAGAATTTATTCGAATTCGGCGAGACGAAGCGGCAGGAGGAGGAGGGGGAGAAGGAGATATAATAGCTTACACACGCGAGACGCAAAATTAAAATATGACCGCGCCGCGTAGAAAAGCCGGAAGACAAACCGTGGAAATAATTAGTCGTGCCCATCGCGGTGGGCCATATATCGTTACTTCCATCTCCTAACGAGCGGCCCGGCCGCTGAACGTATCGTTCAACCGCACGTATCGTGCAGCCGTATTCCTTCTCTCGTCTCGTGTGCACACGCACGACGCACACACACACACACACACACATAAACACACGCACAGCTTCGTGGCTTCGTCAAAATAAGACGGAAGCGCCCTTCGCCCTTCCGAGAGGCCGTATAATTTTTTATGCAAAGTAACGGGCCATCATTCTCTCTTTTTTCTCTGCCTCCCCCCGTCCGCCCCCGTCCCTCTGCCTCTCTCTCTCTTTCTCTCCATCTCGGAAACTGTAATTTAGTAGCGGTTTGTAAAGTAGGCGAGAGGCGCGCCTGATGCGGCCGTCCGATTCGACGCAGCCGCGGCTCACGACCACGTGAAACGGTGGCCTGAAAGTGGTCCCGGCCGAGGTGATAATTACCACGTCGAGAATCGTTTCCACGGGCTTCTCTAATTGTAAACACCGAGTGCGGGGCTAACGAACGATCCAGCGCTCCGCCGGCCGTTAGATGATGCTAAAGATAACGCACGGACGTATCAATCATTTCGGGCGATTCGTTAGGAAACAGCGGCGGCGTGTCCCTCCGAGGGTGGAAGAAGTTTGCCGGAACGCGTGCGCGATTAAATGCCGATAATGTGCTACCTCCGGGAATCGACGCTCTCCCACGGAGAAAAATAATTTTGTTCTTTTAGCAAAATTGTCGTTGCTACCGCATATTCGTAGTATTTTCAGAGTTTTTACTGGGCAGAAACTATCCAATATTTATTTACTATTTTTCTTGCATAGTTTCTGATAAAAAAAACTACCCAAGAAACACTGAACAGTATTTTCAGAGTTTTTAATGGACAGAAACTGTCCAGCATTTTTTATTTATTATTTTTTCAAGCCTAGTAATTAACTAGGCCTAGTTCTAACTAGTAATTGACCATGAAAAAATAGCCAGTATTTTCTGCCAAGTTTCAAAACAGTAACTGTCTAATTAATCCTAGCCAGTAAAAACTGTCTAGTTACTAGTCAGTAATCAGTTTTTTCCTGAGATGTTTCTACTTGGGAAGGAGCATAAAGAGAAAATCCTTTGTGACGGAGAAAAATAATTTCGTTCTTTTAGCAAAATTGTCGTTGCTACTGTATATTCGTAGTGACATCAAAAAAATTTAGTTGACGTAACTAATTTTACAAATTATTCGTCATCAGAGTAGTAGTTTCATTGCCAAGATAGACAAAATTTGAGTGTATTTGTCCTAAGAATCACGTCAATCTGCTATGGATGCAAAATAATGTATCCTTAGCAAATTTATTCGCTATCAGAGCAAAACTGCAACTGCTTATATAAATCCATCGTGGTTCTTATAGTAAAATAATTTTCTTAATAATTTTACTTTAGATTCAGCAAATTATATCTAGCAAATAGTGATTAGTACTCTTAGCAAAACTTTTTGCTGTCCATATAATAACGAAAAGATTTTACTAGACCAACAGAAAATTTGCTGGGCCAGCAAATTATTTTTTTCCATGTGCGATAAGCGCAGGACGAAGTCGCGTTTTGCGAGACGGGAGTGTCAGGAGTTTGCAAAAATTTAGTCATGTTTCTTTTAATAATTAGTATAGAGAAATTAATATACTAAATTTCTTAGAACAAAGTCTCACCCGAAACGAATGCAAAGTATTTTCACTCGAAGAGACAGTGAAAATACTGTCACTGAAAATCACAAGAGCGAACATTTCAGTCAAAATATGTATAATAGAAACAACAAATTATATATATTACGAAATATAATGCGCCTTTGACTAGTGATACGTACGCTACGCACCTAATGAAGGGTTAATTGCTATGGAAAATTTTACCATGTTCCTGAGCAAAATTTACCATGTGTTTCAACAAAATAAATTCCATTAATCGTCTCCATCTGAGCTATTAGAAACATAGTAAAATTGGCAAGAATTTATATTATAAAAAAAACTATGATATTAGAGTTAATACAGCAAATGTTTCAAAGGGATACCATACTGGAACAATCTGTTGGTAAAATACTAACCTTTTTTAACAAAGTTTACGTTCCTGTAATGTCTATCTTGCTAAGGAATGTAGCAAATTTAATAGCATATTTAATAGCATATTTAATAGTACATTTAATAGCATATGCAATTTTAATAGCACGTTTAACAGCATATTTCAGTTCCTAGACTAAACAGCATGTATGAAATGAAAGGATGGTTCGTTGCGTATACAAGATGGTGAAATCGGGAAGAATTTATACATGGGAGAAGCTGTAATGTTCTCCCTATATAGTACATGCCGTGTCCACTATAATTATCGATCGCTTTTCTGTCGTTTTTTCAGGTAACCGCTTCACTCTACGTCCGCAAAATGACTCATCTTTCGAAGCGATGGAATCAACGACCCGACGAACTTCCGTAAGCCTCTAATATCTTTCACGTATCTCGGACGCTGCCTCGCGCGCGCCGTAATTGTTAATTGTTAATTGAGCGCGAGTGTCGTCGCATTTACCTTTGTATACTATGCGAAATGCCATATAATAATCGAGTCGCTCAGCGAGATATATTCGCCGCGCGCTCTCTGTCACGCGTTTTCATTAAAACACGGCGAACAAGTCCGCTCTCGCGCGCGGCGCGGCGCCGTCGATTGAAATAAATAAACGGCGAGAATCGACGAAGTTCTCGATTCGATTCGCGTGCACGACATCGGCTCGTGCAGTTTGTTATTTATTTGCACGGCCGCGCGCGGCGATGCCTCTCGTCGCCGCCGCCGCCGCCGCCGCCGTCGTCGTTGTCATCGTCGTCGTCGTCTTCTTCGTCGTAAAATGTGGCTTCCTCGGCTCGGAAATGCTAATCGTCGTCAACTCGCTGCAACCGGTACTTCGCGTTTCTGCGCTCATCCAGTAAGTCGCGGCGACCATCTGCCGCGTGATATCCTCCACAATGTAACGACATTTTACGAGCGACCGGCCGCTTTTTGCCGCGCGACGACGCGATCGCAGTTTAACCACTCGTCTGTTTTGGTTATCGAGGCGAGGCGGTGGTTAGGTCAGGTTGCAGGATGCCGGGAAAAAGGACCTGCTCGATATCCAGCGTCGCCGGTCGGTGCTCTCGAGCGCGTTCGTATAATAATCGCGATGCGTTGCGATTGTAAGTGTGTGTGTAAGTCGCGTGTAAGTCACGAAAGATCGCCGGAAACGGCGCAATCCGTCGACGACACCCACTCGATTCCCTCGCGGCTCGGACGTTTGTCCGCAATGAAATCTGAAATTTAGAGTAACGCGGTTCCCGATTCGGCAAGCGATTGTCACGATCGACGCTGGAGGCCATATTGAGTCTGTACTTTTCAGCTGAACTGTCTGAATCAGTGCACGCTGGTGCAACAGGTCAGAGTGAGACAAATGCGTTTTGTTTCACCCTAATTGATTGCGCCAGTCGACGCCAGTTCAGGCAGTTCAGCTAAAAAGAACAGACGACTATAAGTAGTTATCACTTGAAACTTGTCTCATGTGTGTGTGTAGGATACTCAGATTTTTACTCAGAGTCAGATAAGAATTTCTCAGTTGAATTATATGATATACGTGACGTTGTATTTATAATCGCGATTCAATTGACTAACTTTTATTTAACTCTGAACCCAGATTTGAGTATCTCACTTGAGAGGAATTTCAAGCAACGACTGTTAGAAATATTAAGATTGACAACTTATTTCTATGAAAGCGAAATACAGAAATGATAGGTTCGCGAAAAAAATACATAATGCAAGGACAAAATATTTCTTAAATATTCAAAATATTTCTTAATTTTTTCAGCTATACCCGACGTCAATTGAAAATGAAAGTAAATTTGATATAAATCGAAATAGACCTGTCATTTTGATTGGCAGTTCTACAGAAAAGTATCATTTTATTAAGAAAAGCGATTAGTCAGTTTATCTTTTTCCTTCCAAGTAATGGTTGTCTTCAACAAAGAATATTTTTTCAAGGACACTTTGAAAATGTATCTGTCACAAATTTGAGAAAAGCTCATCATTATAAGAAAAATATATTTTCTGCAGTAAGCAATTTAGCCAGGTTTAGGTTTTTTAATTCAATATTCTACGCTATATTCAGCAGGATTCAGAATGTATTTTCAATAACTTTGGTACTTATGATGAGATTAAGATAGATTTGCGGATATAGAAACTATTGAAATGCTTGAAACAAGTAATGTTTTAATGTAGTATGTATTTTTCTGTTGCGTGTTGCGTGTTGCGTGTAGAACATGTAAAATCTCGTGCATTTTATTGCTCGATATAACATAACAACAACAACTCGATGTAATATAACAACAAGAATATTTATAGTTTTAATAATGTTTAATAATGTTTATATATAGATATGATTCTATGATTCTATGTCTGCTAGTAAAAACTATACTTCGCATGCAACATTGAAACTCGCCGAGAACTGTCGCGAATTCTTGTCTCTTTGCGAAAAAAAGGAACAGGTGACCACTGAGTTTTTAGAAATTATGTTTCTTTCAAATAGGACCTTCGAACTATGCGAGAGAGAAACAGAAAAAGAGAAAGAGAGAGAGAGAGACGTTTAATTCTCACGAACATTATCGGTCCGCCAAAAATTACACGCACAACGAAGTTTCGGCACAATCACTTCGCTGTAGTAGTTGATTACCTTGAATGCCGAAATTGAGTTTACTGATGTATTGAAATTTTGTTATGGGTATGGGATTATATCCATATAGGTGTAGGTATTAGCCGGGCATTTAATTAGATTTTATTACGGCGAAAATTACATTTCGTCGACGTTCGCTATAATGAAATTTTATTACGGCACGTAAGTGTACTCATGCACAGGGTGTTCCGGCTGTGTCGCATTTTTTGCCAAGCTTCATGAATTCTGAAAGTTCAGAAATATCTTGTTCTCTTTACAATAAATGTATTACCGTAGATTCGATTGTCGGAATGCTTTGATTTTTTACACGTGCGAAATATATTTCTCATTAGCAAAACGCAGAATTATACACCGAAAAAATATACTTAAAGATTCATTTTTCCGTGGGACAGAGTTCATTTCTGAGGAGAAAGTTAATTTCTGTGAATAAACTTTACATTCCACGAAGAAATTTTCAAGTATTTTTCTCTCAGAATAATATCTATATACGAAAGAAAAGATACTTGAAAATTTATTCGTGGGATAAAAGTTGATTTCATAGAGACAGGAACTTTATTTCACAGAAATTATCTTTGTTTACACGTGCGAAATATATTTCTCATTAGCAAAACGCAGAATTATACACCGAAAAAATATACTTAAAGATTCATTTTTCCGTGGGACAGAGTTCATTTCTGAGGAGAAAGTTAATTTCTGTGAATAAACTTTACATTCCACGAAGAAATTTTCAAGTATTTTTCTCTCAGAATAACATCTATATACGAAAGAAAAGATACTTGAAAATTTATTCGTGGGATAAAAGTTGATTTCACAGAGACAGGAACTTTATTTCACAGAAATTATCTTTGTTTATCACAAATAAATTTTAAAGTATCTCTCAGTGCATATCACAGTGTGCTATAACGCGCAAGATTTTACACACTCGCAATCATAAGAATCGTCACGTTTAGCGCTTCGCATTCGTTAGTGAACAATGAACAGCAGACAGACAAACAGACAGGGTGGGATCTGACGACTCGCAAACAGCGGAGTAAAACAGGGTGTACGTGAGAGAGATATACAGGAAAAGGAAGAGAGAGAGAAAGAGAGAAGGGGGAGTAGAGAAAGAAAAAGAGAGAAAGAGAGAGAGTACAGAGGGAGAATGAACGCGGGAAAACACGAGAAAGAAATATGACAAGTGACGGAGATCGTGTAGGAAACATCCTTCGATAGGGATCGAGTGCTAACGAAGCCGATAGGGCAGACCCTGCTTCTTCCTGGGACAGGACAATAACCGGTGTATGTGCGTCTGTCCGTCCGTCGACCGGTGCGTCGTCCAATAGGACGCGCCTGCTGTCGGTACGGCGAGCAGGTGCGACCGTGACTTGCCTTCTCCGTGTGTGTTCCTTGTATGTATAATTACGCCTGCACGCTACATACGCGATGCGCACATACGCCGCCGCGTATGCACGTGGTCAGCGCGTATATACGTGCGTTGACGTATATATATGTGCGCTAGCCTCGTCTAGAGCGCACGTATCCCTTTGCGTCTCGTGCATGTACGGACGCGCCTAGGCTATCCGCACGATAGGCTGCGATAGGGTGCGTGTACACGAGTATACGGGGTGATCGCATTGGAATCACCCTCGGGGCTCATTTCGGCCGGCGCCACGAGAAATGGCGGCGGCGAATCGATAATTACTCCCGTAATTAATCGGTGACGTTGTCCGCGCGGAGAAAATTTTGACGCCGAAATTACTCCAGATTTTTCAAGGATTTTTCATCGAGAAGCTCACCACTATTTCGCCTGAGTGTGCGTTATTCTTCCGTTTTTGCGTGTACTATTTATATTTCGGAGACTGAAGTGTATCATTAAGGCTCCCTCCTGGTACACGACTATGTTGGATTCTGACGTCACGCACAGAAAAATATATACTGCACTTGTGTAAATGTTATATTTTTTTCTTTTACAAGTATTTTACAAGTATTTTATAAGTTTTTGTATCGGTAAATCTGCCATAAGTTCATCGTAAGTGTCAAAAAAAAGAGAGCATTATATGCTGTATTAGACTGTGCTAAAAAAATTAGAATGTCAGTTTAGTTTAGTTTAATTAGAATGTCATGGTATTACTTTATCTTTATTTGTTATTACGCTGAGAAGAAAAATATCTGAAGAATGAAAAATATTTATTATATATAATATATATTTGGTGAATATATATAACATAGCTACTTAAATCTAAATTCTTTGATTTAACAATAAGTGATAATATTCCTTTATTTAAAAAATATTTTCTATTAGTAGAAATAAATTTGTCATTAGTATCCACCGAATAAATATTGTTTTATTTTTTTACATATTTTCTATCTCTCAATATGCGATATAAAATATCATATTGCTTCACATTAGAATGTTATGGGCTGTTAAAATTAATAAAAATCAGGACGAGATTGAGATACGGGACTTCATTCTGCATATGATTACGATGATACGTGGACAAATTCTTCCCACTTACAAGAATTTACGCTATTTGCGTAGTTGGATATATTTACGCTATTTATAGCGTATGCATCCATTTATGTTCGAGCTCGGTTACTCGGACACGCGGATGGAGCATGTTCAGTATTTATAATCTATAATAACCCCATCGCGGTCGTGACGTTCTTTTATTAGCATTTTTCCTTCAATTTGTTGAGAGGCGTGTCATTCCGTGAAAACGAACGCGAAACGACGTATAAGCCTCGTGCTTTTTATTACATCCGCTA